ACGTGTGCTCTTCCGATCTTCATTAATATGATTGGTTTATACATTTAGATTCATGAAGAACTAAAGGCAAGAACTAATCATGTTGAAGAATCTCACAACAGTTGTAAAGCTGTTTTCTCTGCTGAACGCAGCCAATAATAATTTTATGATTCATGTGCAAGATTTGATTTCGACAAGTCATATAATTACGAAGAGCATGAAAAAAAAAGAAGATATATACTTACTCGCAAAAGAAAAGGCAAAATTGCTATCCGGTAACGATAGCCTGTTCGTAGAAAAATGCTAATTTGATCGCAAGAAGAAACGTAGATTAAGAGAAACGGAATTTAAATAGACGGATTGCGCAAGAATACAAGCATGTAGTAAGCACAAACTGTGTGTGTTTATAATGAGATTTAGGCTGCGTTTCGTTTTAACGCTCACGCGCTGCGAACATGTCTTTGTTTAACATATGATAAACAACAAGGATAAAATGATTCCGTGAGCGCCAAAAGCGTGAATACGGAACGCAGTCTTATTAACAAAACGGGAAGCGGTAGAGTGAAACGACGTGAATGAACAGAAAGGTTTATCTATGAAAAATTATCTCTTACTTCCCGTTCGACTTTACCTGATAAACTGTACTTGATTATTTTATCTGATAAAAATATAGTGCGCAATGTATTGATTATAATTTTAGATTCTCTAATTATAACCGTTTATTCGCTTCGGAGAAGGAAATGAGACAATTTTGAATGAATTAAAAGACGAAGGAATCATTAGCTTGACATACATATGTAACAATTTAATTGTAAAGTAAATACGTTATAATTATTATGTCGTATTTGTAATATCGTACAAGATAAAATATTTTATAAAGTTATATGTATATACATATATTACGCTGTATCATAATATAGTATAATGTATTAAAGCATGTATTGCTTTAGAATACTTATTATATAATCTTATATTATTATACAGAGAAATATTTTTTTAAGTGAAGATATATAAGTGAGACTTTAGTTTTTAACTCGTGTTATTTTTAATTTAAAGTAAACTAAAAATAAACTCATTAGATAAAGCCATTTCGATAATTATCGTCGTCTTTATTTTATCGTTTTCTACATAATTTTTTATTTTTGTTAATAAATTTTTAGTTTACTTTAAACTAAAAATAAACTCACTAGATAAAGCTATTTCGATAATTATCGTCGTCTATATTTTATCGTTTTCTACATAATTTTTTATTTTTGTTAATAAATTTTTACTTTACTTTAAATTAAAAATAACACGAGTTAAAAAGTAATATTGTATACATATAGAGTGTACCTTTTTTAAAAAGTCTCACTTATATATCTTCATTTAAAAAAATATTTCTCTATAATATTCTATATAATAATATAAGAAGTATAATATAGTATACTAAATAATAAGTATATAATATAAGTATTCTAAAGCAATACGTGCTATATTATACTATATTATACTATATTATGATACAGCGCAATATATACATATAACTTTATACAATATTTTATCTTTATTCTTGTACGATATTACAAACACGACATAATAATTATAACGTATTTACTTCATAATTGAATTGTTATATGTCGTATGTATGTCAAGCTAACGATTCCTTCGTCTTTTAATTCGCTCAAAATTGTCTCATTTTCTTCTCCGAAACGAATAAACGATTATAACTAGAAAATACTTTACTAAACTAAAAATAAACTTATTAGATAAAATCATTTCGATAGTTATCGTCGTTTACATTTTATCGTACTTTAAATTAAATTAAACTCACTAGATAAAGTCATTTCGAAATTAATTATCGCCGTCTACATTTTATCGTTTCCTACATTATTTCTTATCTTTGTTAATAAAACATTATAACGGACAGAGTGGGAAGATGTTAAGCACACATAGTGGTTCCAATTCCCTCAAAAATTGACCAAAATGTTGATTATTAATTGTCATATTGCGATAATTATAATAATTTTATTGCATTGTATCGAAATATTATAAATTCAAGTATACAATATAAATACGAATATAAATTCAAGTTTGATATAGGTACAAATGAGAAAACGTAGGGAAGAAACACAGAAAATTATGGAGTTAATTAATGTTGAGCTGTTAATGACGGAGGATGAAATAATAAGAAATTGTGGCTATGTAAATTTGATTTCAGGATTTCCCGTTGCTCTTCTTCATAGGTACACGCTCTACGGCAAAGACCCGAATCGTCAGCATTTATTTTTCATAGCATGCGGTCTCTCAATTGGTTACTGGAATTACGGTAATTCACTCGAGCAATATCTCAATCCGCGAAGAATGACACGCAAATGATACACCGGCATTCGCCTATTCATAAGGATCGCTGATGATGACAATGAATTTTGCAGACTGTAACATACTTCATTCATCGACGGCGGTATGCGCAACGTATCTGATCCTGACGGTTCTCGGCAGCACCGGGCTATCGGTCATAGTGACGTTCCTCTTCAACATGACGTATTTACTTTACGGTAAAGCAACACTACGGCAAATTTGTAAAATTTATTCACCAGTCGAGAAAAGCGGTCCACGCTTATATTTACATTATTTACCCTGCGGCACTATCTATTTATTATTCTCGAGCTATCTGGCGCGGTCATCGTGGAATTTGAATAAGATATTCAACAGTAAATTTTTTGATTTCTATAGTTTAAATATGTACGCTCCTCGTCTTGGAAACTAGAACGGCGCAAACAGTTAAACTCTATAATTAAATGATAATTATAACAACGATGACGAGGAACAATTTTTTTGTATTACTTGCGTCTTGATTACGGTATTACGAAATTGTTACTTTAATTATTCGAAAAGTTGCGGGCAATTTTATCGATAATTTGAATATATTTTTGTTGAATGATTTTTTATTGAAACAGCAAATATTTTTAACTTTTTGTTTGTTACATCGATAACGTTTTGTTGTAATTTAACGAAATATTACTTTTTAGTTTTGCAATTGTGTTCGCTTACGTTTGTAGATGAGCGTTGTCGTTTTTCTCGTTTTCTTTCGTCGATCGTCTCGAGCTACAAAGCATTTAAACGAAATTGTTTTCCAATACAGGCTATTACACCACCAGTACCCAAGATTACGATATAAAATGGACAATGCCGCAGTGCGTGCTGACCCTTAGATTAATAGGACTTGCGTTTAATTTATGGGACGGTCAGAAACGTGACGTACGAAACGCTATATTTTTTTCATAATTCCATTACATCGTTTATTTCGCCGCCGTTAACCATCACGGATTGTATTATAGGAGGAGCTCTCCGATAGTCAAAAACAGGTGGCCTTGAAGGAACGACCGTCGCTATTGGAAATTGCGGCGTACGCTTATTTTCCAGGCGCCTTCCTAATCGGGCCGCAGTTTAGTATGCAACGATACTTGGATTATGTTAATGGTCAGCTCACAGACCGCGTACGTTAATTAATATTTGAAAAAATACTGATCTATCGACGAACTCGGGGGTTCATTTAGTTCTTCAGTTTGAAAAAAAAATACGAATTTAAGTTGCATGTTTTTATACTTTAGGATCCTCAAACTGGTGCCATCCAGCTGCCGGATTGCGTGTCCGTGGGATTGCTACGAGCTTTCGTCGGATTTATTTATGTAGCGATATTTCAAATCGGCACACTTTACGTTTCCGATCAGTATCTCTTTGAGCCTTCATTCCAAAAGTTGAATTTAATAAAGAAGTGCTTGGTGATCGGCCTGTGGGGCCGCATCAATCTCTACAAATACGTCAGCGTCTGGCTGATCACAGAAGGGGTACGTAATCGAAATATATTTTTAACATTATCCACATCTATATTTGTAATATGCACAACTTATGGTCGATTTATTGATTTGCAGGTGTGCATCACCTTTGGTCTCACACATAACGGTAAGGACTCGAAAGGTCGCATTAAATGGGACGGTTGCGCGAACGTCAAACTGCGAACGTTCGAAACTACCACGCAGTTCAGTCACTACATTCTCTCGTTCAACATAAACACCAATAACTGGTGCGCGGAGTACATTTACAAGAGGCTGAAGTTTCTGGGCTCAAAAGTGTACAGTCAGATAATGACGCTGCTCTTCCTTGCCCTCTGGCACGGTTTTCACTCTGGATACTATCACTGTTTCTTTATGGAATTTATCGTGTTATACTTCGAGCGAGACGTAAGTATACAATTGCGGCTCGCGCGAACAGAGAGTTTTCTAAGGAGTTTTCTTTTTCGACGTTTAACTGTTTACTTGGTCAATCCTCATTACCCGCTTGCTTTCTCTTTTCTAGATTGGACCAGTATTGAAGAACAGCGAGAAAGTGCAAACGCTGCTGAAAACGCGATGGGAGGCGCGCATACTCGCTTGGATCTTTCTGAAGCTTTACACCTTCGTTTTTATGGGTTACTGCCTCGTATCGTTCGTACTCCTCTCATTTCCGCGGTACAATCAGGTTTACTCCAGTTTGTATTATTGCGGACACGTGTTCTTCCTCTCTTATCCGCTGCTCGCGCCGTACATTAAACGGTTGCTTGGTCAAAGACACGAGCGTCAGCGGTCGCACCAAGAATAAGATGTCGCGATCTCTCTTTTCTTTTCTCTCGATATCGTCGAGAGGCATTGCCTCTGTACTTGTTTTTTTTTTTTTTTGTTTTTTCCGTTCGGTCACTCGTGAATCGATATTCGAGAAGACGTACAACTGTGGTGTAATGGACGCTGGTGTATACAGTTACACTCGCCTACAGTCATTAGTCTTCTAGAAGAAATGTGATAGCGCATATCCAACGGAAGATACGGGAAATGATAAAGCATATTACCATCACTATCGCGTTTCGTAACCACGATTATGAATTGTTTGAAACACAAGGCGCGTCCGTGAAACGCGCTGTCAGCGCCTTTCAGCACTGTCGCATTGTTTTATCTTCATTAGGCGTAAAACGAAGATAGAGTGACGTGATAGCGTGATAACGCGTATCCTCGAACGCGCTTGTAATGTTGCATCTCCGTCGCTTAAATATATCCTCGATGGTTGAGGTAGTGAAAAAAGATCGAGTAAGTGAAAAAAAATTCCCTTGAAGAATCTCGCTCGAAACGATGGTAGTGGTGGAATATTATTACTGCTAAGAGAACATTTCAGTTTTGTAAATCGACGCACCGTTTAGAGAAAATTCCGCTGGTCGGGAATTTTGTGTACTTTCAACGATCAAACTTTGCGACACGGAAATTGAGAGGAAATTCCAGCAACAATTCTAGGATACTTGAGTATTTTCCTACAACAGTACGTTCTCGCGTCTTCAATCGTATTTTTGTATATCCAGCGTGTTCAATTAATCAAAGTTTTGTTTATAATATATTCCATCGGTAATGAAATCTATTAAAACGCGCCATGCCCTTTTTAGTGATAAGAACTGTTACAATATGACGCGTAGCGCGGCCGCGTAAGCTAGTCAAGTGTCACAATATCTCGAAAAGACTCGAAGGAAAAAGCAATTGTGCATTTAGGTACCGCAATAAGAAAACTAAGTTCAAGGAAATTGCGTTGCAGAGGATTACCTAGAGAATAATACCGTGATTTTCTAAGTGCGAAAATAGCTAAAGCAGCATAGACAAGTATCGCGATATCGTGCACGATTGAAGTTGAAATACATATATTTTAAACGTAGTGCTACGTTTTACTGCGATTAACCGCGTTTTACTATACCTCTCTAGATATAAATACGACGATAGATCGCGATTCTAGTCGGGCGTGTACCTTATACCGTGTATACGCTACATTAGTATCAATATACGGTATAAAGTGACGCGAGAAGCCGATTTTCAGTCTTATACGTTCGCAGTTATTTTTAGATAAAAGTCTAACAACGATTTTACCTATCCGTATTGCAGTAGGAATAACGCGGTCTTATTGCGCACACAGCCCTTCGAACACACAGCTCGTCGAAATTAAGAGAAATTAGTGTGGATACCAGTTCGATACCAGTGTATAAATAAAATGTCCAGGCACTGACGTACCTCGCGATCGCGCCCGATGACACCCTAATATCGTTGAACGATCAAGTTAGATCGACGAGAAATGATTTGCGGTACTTCGCCTAACTGACCTTAATTTATCGATCGCGAGTACGCCCAGTCTCTGGAATCTTTGACGTAGTCGCGTACAAGTTTACAAAGTCTTAGATACTGTATAGGAGTGTACAAACGTAGCGCAGTCAGGAGTTAAAGCTAGAATCACACGATGCATGATTTTCATGCCTTACTCCCTTGCATTCTGACCGATGCATGGAACTTAAGGCCTCGTCACACGATGCATGATGGGGGTTTGCATGCTGCTGTGTCTGCTCTGATGCATGCTAGAAACTTTCACGCATTGAGCGAAGTATGCTACCATCCTTGATTTCTGTGTTTGATGTGGTGCATTATTTTATGGCTCGATTCCTTGCATGCACCAATCAAAATCAGTCACGTGATTGCTATCAAGCTCTTCTGTTGTCCTCTTATGTTTGTGTTTCGTATAACAGATCAATTCGTTACATTAATAATTATTAGTTATTATTAAACAAAAAACTTTAAGATGTCTTGGAGTAAAGATCAGATAAGCGTGCTGCTAATAGCAGCCAATTTCCGTCGTAATTGCAATTTATTAATTAAATATAAACGCTGTTTATCCATTTATATATTTTATACTTTCTTCCTCAATCACTTACATGTAGGCGTTACTATGCAACTGAGCCATCATGGATGCTATCTTCGTGATGACTAAATACAGCGCTTTAAACAGCTAACCGAGCTAAGTTCCTTGCATCGGTCAGAGTGCAAGCAAGTAGGCATGAAAATCATGCATCGTGTGACGAGGCCTTTAGCTCGGTTTGCTACTTAAAAGTGATTGATAATTAATAAATACTAATTGTAACCATCTAACGAATTGATCTATTATACGAAATATAAACATAAGAAGAAAAAAGCTTGATACCAATCACGTGACTGATTTTATGATTTTGATTGGTGTATACAAGGAATCGAGGCGTAAAATAATGCACTATATCAAACAGCATACTTCGCTCAATGTGTGAAGGTCTAGCATGCATCAGAGCAGACACAGCAGCATGCAAGCTCATCATGCAGGAAATCGTGCATCGTGTGACGGCGGCTTTACATTACATACATTTGCCGATGACATTTATTAGAATTGAAGCGCTAATGGAACACTCCGACATGACTTTCCTGACACGAGAGATCCTTCTAGTTGATAAGTCGCGAACGTGTGAATTTTAAAATTTCAGAATTGTAATTATAATTTTATATTTATAATTATAATTGATATATTTATAATTATAATTATAAATTATAATTATAATTGAAGGGCTTGCTGCAACAATGGACTAACCCACATTTTATAACAACGGAGAAAATTAATTATAAAATTAAAATAAACTTTAAAGTTTTATTTTCTCCATTTTTATAAAATATGTGTTAGCTCGTTATTGCAACAAGCCCAATTATAATCTTGATAATTGTATTTAGGAATTATATATAATTATAATATTTATAATTATATAAATTCTCGATAATTACAATTGAGAATTGTAATTTGGAAATTAAAATTCTCACGCCGGTCGTTCGTTTCGTACTTAATGCTAATACAAAACACGTTGAGCGAATGCGCTCTAATTGAATACCTTATCTTGGAATGTCATATTCCAAATGTCTTCGAGAGAATCGTTATAGTAATCATAATTTAGTCAACAAAGTAATAGGAAATAGATATATTTTCGAGTATAGATTTTCGAGATTCTCTAAAACGTTATTTAAAGAATACAAATGCGCTTGCAATCTATGTTTCAACAATTTCAATTTCGTATCGCATCACTAGTAAGAGATGGAACGAGAAAGAAAGGGGGGAGGAGAAAGAGAGAGAGAGAGAGAAAGAGAAAAATAGGGGATTATAAGAATCCGCGAAACAAAGGATAAAATTGAACAGAGAGGCGGTAAAGTGATTAATAATAATAATTAATGCCGGAAATCGTTTGATATAAAAAAATGTATTTAATATTATTTTCTTAAAAGATACAAAAGAAGCATCGACGTCTCGTATATAAAAATTAATTTTCGTTTTTTCTTTTTGTTTCTTTCAACAGAGAACCGCGACGAACGTTGTACTCGGTACTCGGTCGTTCAAGAACTCGGTTTATATACGCGTATGTGCGAATCTGTGTGAATGTGTACATGTGTGTATGTGCGCGAGCGACATCACGAAGTATATAGGCTTTAACAACACGAGCTGTCTGCCTCTTAAGCACCTTTAAAACACCATGCGGCCTATCTTACGAGATACAGGCGATATATACATCCCTCCTACGATTATTAAGATCCATCCGGGATCGCGTTTGCGTTCACGTATCGCGAAACGACCGCGAGGGTAGTCACCGTTAAATATTTTGCCTCCGTAAAATGTCGGGAGTCTCTCGAGGGTTGGTGGTGAGGGTGATGTGTGCTCGTGCGATGAATCCTAGTACGGTCCGCTGGGGCCCGGATGCGGTGCCCCGTAACTGTCGATGGGCTGCCCCGGTTGTTGTCCCGGTGGACCGTATTCGCCGCCACCTTGCTCCTTCTGTATTGCATAAAAATAAATATGTATAAGGGACGAGGTAAGAGAGAGAAAGAGAGAGAGATGACACGTGGCGCATATATGAATTTTATATATTGTGACTATTACGCGCGGCCGTGATCTTTTCTGTGATGGCAATTTAGCAGAATTTCAACAGATAGTCTTCGTATTCGCATTAATTAAAATCTCGCCGATATATCTGTAGCTTAGCTAGCGAGTAAGAAAGAGAAAGAGGAGAGAGCAATTTCAGAAAACGACTTAGGCTAGGGAAATTTGCATATATTGGTTAATCGAATGCAGAAGAACGTCCCTTGATCGGCAAGCGGATCAAGGAGACGTGAGAGAGATATATCCATATTTACAGTTCTCTAAGCGGAACGTAAACGTGTATAGTGAAAGATATCTTTTGTAACGAAGAGTTATAGCGATATTAGTGTGTACAATACAATTAATCCCTGCAGCCAATGCATTGTTATAGAAACTCTTGGCAAACTCGGTTAGATCAGCGTTATGGAACGACACTCTTGAGAGGAGAAACTCTCCACAATTATTCAAATTGCCGACACGGTAATCACCTTGGGCAGTTTCTTTTTCTTTTTTTTTTTATAGTCGTGAAAAGGTCTGATTAACAGTAAGGTCGTCTGAAATACACGACGTGCGAATATCGATATTGCGCCCAATATCCGGATCCCCTCATATCCCATGCAAAAACATGCGTCACGCCGTTTCGGTTTCATATCGTCGAAATGAGCAATTTGCATGCCGCAAGAGCGCGAGGCGTCACACTTTCATCTCTCGACGTTCGTCGTTTAAATCGAAATCGTTCCCCGATAGGTCGCTTTGAAAGCGGCCCGTGTCCGCGCTATATATACACGCGTTTGAGCAACATTCGCGCGCTTTGAGCAACTGAAGATTGCGCAACGCGTTACATCTAGATCCGACGATAGGAACACGTCGTGCGTCATCCTTGCCGAGGCTCGAGTTCGCGCGCGCCTAAGCGATTGCGTTAATGATAAAAAAAAACCTGCATGAATTACACCGCCGAATCGTAAAAAGAAAGGCGAGGGAAGACGGATCGTTTACCTGAGTTTTATAGCGGATGAAGTAGACCTCCGGTTTGCTGGGTTGCGTCGGCGCCTGCGTCGGCAGCACGATCTCGGGCGCCTCTTCCGGTTTCTTCACCAGGACATAGATCAACGTCTTCTCCTCGTCCGGCTGCGGCAGCGGCGGCAGCTGCGGCGCGGTCGGCGTCGGCGGAGTCGGCGCCTTGATGAACACTATCTTGTAGTGCTTCTGCGGCTGCGGCTGCGGTATGTGCTTAGGCGCCTTGTACTCCGGCGCTTCCGGCGGCGGCACGTGGACGTACACGTGCTTGTGGATCACCGGGTTCTGCTGTGGCGGCCCGTAACGGTCCGGGGGTGGCCCGTAGCTGCCGCCGCCGCCGCCGCCGCCGCCGCCACCCCCTCCGGAGGATGGAAAGTACGAGCTCACCGGTGGCTCCGGCGCCGGTTTCGCGAGCGCCAGCGCGATCGACGAGCAGGCGATCGCGAAAATCGTGCTCTGTTAAAAGAGAAAATGAGGCATAATGGTGATCGTGACTGTAATGTTAACGCACAGACGAAGAGAGCTGTAGCGAAAGTTACAATAAAGATTTTGCTATCCCGAGACGTACTGTGGCATTACGTGCGAATTGTGAATACTCCTATTAAAAAAATTTGACATGCGTTGTATATTTTGCAAAAGGGTTGCTGTGTGATTGATTACTCTAATATTAATGCAAATCAGAAACAATCAAATTTCCACTCGGGCAAACAGTTTTACAACCTGAGTGCAATTGCTTTCATTGCGAGTTGTACGTTTTTGTTATATAATAAAAATTATATAACAGCATTAATATGATAATTCTTTAGATAGTAACAAAGATTGATTACAACGTAAGCGTTGTTACATATACAAGTTTTATCCGATTAAAAATGCCTGTACAACTTTTTGTTGCAATATGCATTACACTCTTTATGCGATTACTACAAATACACATATAATTGGTTTTCGATTTACAGTAACAAATATATTACAACATCTATATATTTATATTCCAATTTTACTTTAAAAAATGTAAAATGGAATATACATATATATTTTTTTTATGTAATTTACGCTACGATATTTTCCGCGTAATAAACGATTGATAATTTATCATTGACGGAGTGCAGGCATGTCGAATATATTATACGTTCGCGCACAAGCGCATAATAGCGAATTATTGTACACATTATGTCGTCCATTCGATATGTGAATGGATGAAATACGCGACACGGTATTGCTTAACTTACTTAAAAGAGCTCATTTGCGACACGGACATTTCCATTTAGCAGTTTCTCATCGCCATCGACCGAATTATGCGAGTACAATGGCTCGTTTATTGCGAACTTCTGTGCGATCTGACTCGTAATCACGCACGATTATTCGTGTATTTATCTTCGGTAAAAGGGTATTAAATACGACGCGATGCGCGTTTCTTGGGCTCTTCGCGCGTCAGGGAACTCGTTAACAACTTTCAATAAGCCCCGCATTACGTACTTTTCTTTTACTTGACTGTGAATTTCCGACAGACAGGGTTAAAGTGCCACGTTTTATCTAGGATTTGATTAGCTTACACAACATAAACACAATCGCTTTATAGATTTCCAAATGCTGTATTTCAACATGTATAAAAAGAACCACGGAAAGACCGATTTTGTTGAAAGACCTAAAAATTGTACTAAAAATGGATCTGAAAATAATTTTTTATTGAATCATTAAAATAATTTGTTGAAACGTTAAAACTGATATTGCTATAAAACGTTTTGATATTCTAGCAATTATTTTGACTTTCGCACAAAATAATTTTGACTATTGAACAAAAATTATTTTTAGATTTGGATTCAGCAAAATTGTTCTTTCCGTGTGACAATCGGACTTTGACTAGAAATTTAAAATAATTTGTAATGAACACTCACATAAAATTTCAAGAAAATGGGAGAATACATTTAATTTAATACTTTGAAATTAAAATTATCAAGTATAACATGCCAAGGAAGAAGGAGAGAAAAAGATAAGTGATTTTTGTACAGGAAGAGTTTTACTCTCTCAATTCATTCTTTTGTTACCGAGTCTGGCGCGTGCGTTTTAAATATATGATTTGAATCTAGAACGTGTTGCACGTCACGTAAGCGGCGAAGCAATTCAATCTCGCCAATTACGCGCTCTCAAATGAACGTCAATCGTCCGCCCGACGATGAAGATCCTCGAATACCTCGATTCTCGGATCTTTTCCGCGAGAGAGTCCATTAATTCCGAATAGCGTTTCCCATTCCCGCGCGACGGGCATGTCCCATTAGCGCGGAACGGAAGGAGACGCGCGCGGCGTGCGATGTGCGCGATAACTCACTTCGCTCGAGCGGAGCTTCCTACTCACTTAACGACCCCGCCGATCATTTAATCATGCTTTTAGTGCCGCATCGAAACTCCGCCGCTCCGCGTGCCAGAGCTGGAGCCGCTTTCCCCATTTTCCTTCGCGCTATAATTATCGAGACCGTGTCGGTGAATAGAGCGGGAGCATATATAGGCGGGATCCTTTTACTTTTGCTCGCGCCGCGAGCGAACGGTTTAATCCACGGGAGATCCGTGCCGATGCACCTCGCGCGCAGTGGGATGCACGCTCGACGGATTTTTTTTTTTCTCTCTCCTCGGGAAAACGCGATCACCGTCGCTTTCCATCGAGTCACGAGAAAGAGCCGAGGCGGCCGCCGCGCCGCCGGAGAATCGATGACGTAAATGCCACCGGTTCTCCTCCGAAGCGGATCGCCGTGTTCTTCGAGGGACATCTCGAAGAACGTCAGGCGCCTTTCCACAAATTCCCTCGCGCATAAATCATTAATCTCTCGAGAACACGTACGGCGAAAATGCAAAAAAAAAAACGACAAGATGAAAAAAGAGACGAAAGACTCGAGATGAGCGGAATGGATGTATCCAGCGATGGATTGCATGACGATTTCGCAAGAACGCACCGAATGTTACTCCCATTAAATGCACCTGGTCATTCGATCAATTGACTTACGCGTTTACTTGGTGAGAGGATTGCGTCAGTCGACGTTTAAATTTGGTAACCGGTCTCGAACGTCGCGGCGAAGATCCGAGTCGCGGGTGTTTGCACCACGATCGCGCTCGAGGAGAGACTGCATTGGATTCAGGAAAATTACACTCGTCGTAAATATATATTAGTCATCGAAGTAAAACGCTTTCCCGACGCGCGCGATGTGTGCATATCGCGATTCATCCGCGTCTGAATGTTCGCCAACGAAAACGACAAGCGTGACGCTTCGATATATTATCGTCGACGTTTCTCGCGCGTCGCGCCGTGAACAACTCGCTCGAAAGTGACGATTTAATTGAAATATCGAAAATATCGGGTACCGACGAGAATGCGGTCCACCTCGCGTTCATCTCCAAACGAAGCGCGAAAGACGCCCGAGCTAACGCCGATAAAGAAAAAAAAAATATATATATATATATATATGCACAAAAATCGTATCTTTGAATTGCCTTCGTAAAGAGAACAAAATAAAATCGAACTCGATATTCGATAATTAAGAACGTCGCGCGCGCTCGCTACTTACCGCACTGGTCCGCATTTTCTCCCACGTGTGCGCCGGAGGCTCGAGGTGGTACTCCCGAAATGTGAGGCACGTAGAAAAAGAGGTATGTCGAGCGTTTCACTTGCGAGCTTTCACGCGTGTGGCGTGCGGTCGAGGCTCTTCCGAACTTTTATAGAGGCCATCGAGGGGATACCCACGGAAAAGGAAGGCACAGGAAGGTGGACGGTGTGTATTCGTGGTCGCGCGTCGCCGTCGTTACGCGGCCCACCTCAAGGGGGTTTCTTCTCTCGTCGTCGTCTATCGCCTGCCACCGCCACCGCCGCCCGCCGTCGCCTCCTCTCTTCTTCGGCCACCGTAGTTTGATCCACGGTGTCGCGGACCAAAGGTGCCGCGACACAGCTAGAAAATGAAAGTACTCCAGAAAATGAAGATTCATCGTCTCGCGGAACGGCGACGATTTACGGCGACGATCTAGCTGACGTTGCCTGGCCGAGATTTTTCCTTCCGTATACATCGTCGAAAGCATTCGCGTATCCGACGATAATTTCAATTGGCGGTTTATGCGCAGATTTACCGTTCTCCAACGAAAGTTAAAGAACGTCGTAAGAACTCAACTCACGTTGTGCTGAATGTTGAATTATTAAACCAAATTAAATTTTTATTAGATTATATCCCATATCCAATGCGTGTATAATTATACACATTTATGTGATTAAATATTTTTATTTATTATAACAATTATTACCTCGGACGAAACGCAAGAAGTCTTGGTATTACAAGAGATATATATATTTTTTTTACACTTAGGCTACGTTCGAGGAGCATGCTATCAGCGTTTTTGTCTTTTTATTTTTATCATAGGTAAAACAAGAACAAAATAATGCAATTTCAGGGAGCATCAGTAACACGCACTCCAAAGTTTTAGTATTATCAGTTACATATACAAATAAACAAAATATGTAATTATAAATAATCTCTCTTTATTTCATAATCATTTATTTTTTTTAATTATCATGTAGCGATTGCAGCGAACAATTTACAAGAAAAATTACCCAGATTGGAAGATATTTGACGAATAAAGAGTATAACGAAGAAAGGATTAAAACGTGAATGTTTGCAAATGTTTGCGATAAAAACTGTATCATCCACTGGAGTATAATTTTCGCTTTCTTCATACCGCGGCAGTTACCGCACGGTGCATTACGTAAAATGTGCGAGAAGATATTTCTGGACGATGGCCACTTGGGTTCTTGTTAATAAAACATTTTACTGGACACGGTATTCACTGATTTAAATATCCGATTAATCGGGAGGCCGAAACGCCTGTAGATGTGTTATTCATTGCGCTATCGTAATCCTAGGAATGCCGCGAAACCGCTCTTGACATAACTGCTCGATCGATGGTATCAATGAATTATTCATTATTTTACTACGACGACTCGCTTTACTGAGAGTAAAAACCGTGATAGCGTGTAAAAGGAAGAATCGGCTACTGTGCAGTGTAAATTGATTTTAACGACCCGTTATCCACATATCGGGGACCGGCGCCGCCGGACGCCGGACGCGATCGCTCGTTACCCAATGTTACTTTCTTCCGCGAATACTTTGTTGCCGTGCGATTATCCGTCGCTCGTTTAGACACATTGAGGCAGAGAGAGAGAGAGGGAGGGAGAGAGAGGAAGCGAGAACTGGAGAACAGCGAATCTGTTTCTGCGGATAGGTGGTCGTCCGTCACTGTTACGCGACCGTATGTGGCTGCCGGGATATGACCGGCATTCGTAACGTTCTCTTGGAAAACTTTGATATGCGCTGCGCGCAACGCGCAGAGCATTTCACTCTGGTTTCATCCACGGGTGCCTCGACCCGCGCGAGTTATTTATTGGGCGCCCGTGCCCGCGAGCGTCGAGGTGCAGGAGCCTCGACGAGGAGGGACACGAATTGGCCGATCGCTGGGCGATCGTACCGCGGTGCCCCTAAGTAGGTCAGTAGTCCCCCGTGCCGAAGGACGTTAATCTCGAACTAGATATATAGAGCTCGCACTTGCGAGAGAGATATTGTGAACTTGCGTTTACAATGGAATAATGAAATATACAGGGTTGGTTACTTTTACAAAGTAACTAGTTACAGTTACAGCTTTTGTCTCTCAAAAAGTAACTAGTTACTGTTACAAGTTACCGACTCTGAAAAGTAACATGTTACAGTTACAGTTACTCAAAAAGTAACGAATCGTTACTTTTCAGTTACTTTTAATAAAGCAACATTATAGCATTATAAAAAAAAACGTGACATTATAAAAAAGAGATAGTGGTTTACATTTATATATTATATAACTTTATTTAAAAAAGAAAAGTAATGCGCGTATTTAAATATGAGCATTTAAATATGAGCATAATTACAATCAACATTACAATTAGGTGATTGAGCGAAAGTGTTGCATAATTTTGATCCATGAAAGTGACGATTTGACATATATAAAGTAACTGTAAAAGTAACTATTAAATTAGTTACTAGTTACTTAAAAAAATCTAACTTAGTTAAGTTACAGTTACACATGAAAAGAAAGTAACGAAGTTAAGTTAATTATTGAAAAAAAGTAACTCTGTAACTTCGTTACAAGTAACGAGTTACTTCTCAACCCTGGAAATATAGCATTTTCACCATGAGCATCGTTAAACCACTTCGAAACGCTGACTTCAGCTTCAAGTTTCACTTTGGCCGATGTACAAAAAGAATGCAATTTCTAATATGCGCTTTATCGATCGCCATCGTGCGAACACTATCGATTATTTAAGTCACGTCACGTAGCGTTTTATAATCGTCGACACTTCGGCGAGATTTATATTCGAGATACTATTTCGAGTAGGTGCGAAAGAGGCGTCGAGAACACTTTCTTATATCCATATATATTCTATAGACGAAGATGTTGAAAGTACGTCCGTGTCTTTTTCCTCGCTATTGTTTCTACGAGAAGACGTGGGTACACACCGTCGTAGAAAAGTGCCGCTATGGAGACGATCCAATTTCGCGCGCAGAAAGAGGCAGAGAGGAGAGTTCGCGCCTCGGTGATTCGGCTCATTTTCCTCTCCGTCACGTTATCGTCGACGATCGCGTTACCCGGCGCGGGCACAACGGGGCATATGTGGAAGAGGAGGCATCCGCGGAGGGCATATATGATCGGTGCAATGCGCAAGTAGCGGAGCGCGTCGGGTCTAATAAATCGCAAAACCGCCGTTCGAGTGAACGTGCCCGATGTGTAATATTACATGTACGCAATATGACGCGGCGAGCTCTCTTAACGGCTGCATCGCTTATTACCACACGTATAGAAGGGCACCTTGCTCACAAACGGCGGCCCGATTAGCCCCCCTTCCTCGTCGGATCTGCGATCTCGTTCTCGACTTCTTGCAGAGATCACAATGGAGGCTAGCAAACAATTAACGATCGCCGATGTATAATCGGCGATCGCTCGCCATAAATCCCGGGTTACTCCAGGCGATTGCGCAACGTCTATACTCCTCTTGGAAAATCGATCGATCTGCGCCTATATAGACGAAGCGCGCGAAAGCAGCGCGATGGACGTCGAGATCCAAATTATATACGTATCGCCCGCGTATATTTGTAAATGATTGATTGTACGTACATATATGTAAATATGGTCTGTCGCACAGAGAAAAGCGCGTGGGCGATTGCTCCCGCGTCCCGTTACTGCCTTACAAAATTTTTTCGTGTCGTTTTGAAAGATCATTAGAGAGACACACACACATACACACACACACACATATATTCACGCCGTTACCTAACTCTCGTGCTATTACCCAATATAATATTCAGTCCAACGCTTATACCTGGCAGCGTTTCTCCATACTTTCCACTAAATTTTCTGCGCGTGATACACGTGTAATGATACACGCTAAATCACTTTCGGGGCGAGCGTGATAATGGGCAGTTTCGGGATGGGCGCATGTCTACCTCGAATCTCCGTCCCGACGAGAGAGCTCCCAAACACTTTTTGCTGGAATCAGCCGACCGGGATGGCCAATCTGACGCGTTATAAGGCGATTTTCTACTTTCCAAGCCGCGTACGAGCCGCCGTTTCAGATTATTGTATTATATTATGTTATTACATTATCTTTATATCAGATAATAGCACGAGAATGCTATCTAACGATCTTTCAAACGGTACGAAAGAATTTTAATTTCAAGACAATGATATGAGAGTAATAGCCTGCCCGTTCTTGTGCAACAGACTGCACAAGAAATTGTAAATACGCGATGGTGATTGTAATTAATAAATTGTACCGTTTTCGCACGAAAGTTTACGCTAATGGCCGTCGTCGGGGACGACGAGTTTCACCGGCGCGCCGGAGAGGTAAGAGAGATCGTCGTCGGATAGTCGGGTTCTCTTAATTTCAGGCGATTCGTCCGTACTCCCCCCCTGTCGTATAGGGTTGGATTCCAAGCTCGCCTCGGATACTCTCACCCGTGCCTTCACGCCTCGGAGATATAATAGAATTGGGCGTAATAAGGCCTACATTTTTTAGCCCGTTTACATCCAAGGCATTCCCTGCCCCTTGTCGCAATCGTGTGAGATCACGACGACGAGTCTTTCTCTTATACAACGAAATAAACAATAATACGTGACAGATCATGTGCATAATGACATAAATAAGCGAAAAGGCCAATTCGGTCAAGGCGAATAACACTTGGCGCTTAATAATACTTTTGCGTGAATTTATATATACATCTTCCGATTACATACAACGAAATAAATTACGTTCTTCCACACGCGACCGTTTATTTCTGGCGATATGATTTGATAAAATAGTCCACGACATCTTTCGTATATTAATACAATAAATTGACAAATTAATTTACTTTAATGAACCAAAAAAAGGCTCGTACGATTTTTCGCCTCTTTCGCCACAAACAGCGATGTAATCGTCGTGAGGAATCCTTTTTAATGACAAACGCGCATGCTTGGTTGCCGCGATGGATGATCTTGTATCCCCATTACCGTAGCACGCAATTTCAACAGGATAGTGTCGGCGTTTCAATATGAAAATGGCAAAAGAAGATCTCGCCTCCGATACGCTCGTATAAATTCTCACCGGTGTCGCGGCGATGTCGAAATCGCAGTCGCATTATACGCGGACGCTCTCTCGCCTACCCTTAGACCTTCAAATCGATAGATTCCAAAAATTCGCGTAATCGACTCTCCTAATCTTTCGAAACCTGCCTAACATTGCGGTGAATCCCACCGAGACTTTCGACGGCTCTCAAGGCTGACGGGATTATCGAAGAGAAATGCCTATCTATTAATACGTCGCCGACATTTAATGCGATATTGATTGCGGATTCAAAGCTCTCCTGCGCGTGGCCTGTGACCCGTATAACGTAAATGATAATAACGATGAGAAAAAGAGAGGAGAGGAGGTGAAAACATGGCAGGATAAAAGAGAGAGAGAGAGAGAGAGAGAGAGAGAGAGAGAGAGAGAGAGATAAGGAGATTCCGGAGAGCCCTGAGGAATTTGCGTGCCCTTGGCCGATATGCCGTGTTTGCGCATCGCGGTTACAAAATCTTCTCTTCACCCGCGCGAAAAATCACATCGACGACGAGTCTCGATGGCCCTTGTTGGATCCATGAGTACGCCGAGAGATCATCTGTGTTTGGACGGCTGCGGCGGCGGCGGCGGTGGCGACGGACGGCACCCGACATGGACAGCGACCGCGATGGGTGAAAGTCAAACTAATTACGGCGAGTACACGCCGGCTCGGCTGTGTTGCAAGACCCAGCGCTCGCTAAAAACGACGCGACTCACGCCGGGCAAGCGAATACCGGGCCGTTAAACCGGAACACACAAACCGGAGCGCGCGGCTCTCCTGGGCAGCCTTCCTTCGTCTAATCTCAATTGCAATCTTCTTGCAAATGTAATTAATCTCCTTCTTATGCCGTCGCTGCGTAAGTAACTTGCGTGTTTCTACGAATAATCGTACACCACCCGCGGTATTTGCGGGGAATACCGTTACTCCTCGGCAGACACGAAGCAGATTCAAGTTTAGAACCAAAGTATTATAGAGCAAGCTAGTCGGCGCACATTTGTCCATCCGCTCGCCAATCCGAGTGTATCACGAGTATCACGAATTATCTGATTGTAAAACGGGTCACCTGTTCGGCAATGCTCCTTCATCGTGCCCGATTTAACGGACGAATTTCACCGCATGAATTTCACCATACGCGCGTAACATCATTAAAACTTGCGAAAGCATCAGAAAACTCAAACGGCGCGCCGCGATTAAGTCGCTAAGTGGATTAATAAGAAGCTCAAAGACGCATTATTTCACTTAAAATATTCATATAATTTACAAAAGTTGAGCAAACATTCGAAGCACTTTTTAAGCGTTACATTTCTTTAATATTAATGTTTATGAAGTATAAAGTGTTTTGTTCAATTCTGATATACGTACGATAAAAATTGAAAGAAACTTTTGGAAAATTATTGGGAAGGACAAACGAGATCGAACTTTCCAAATAACATGTCTATAAAACATTATACATATTTCATAAATTTTTTATTCAAAATCCGTAATTTCTTTGAAAAAAATGAATTGACAAAGTATTAATTAGATCCCCGAAAATTTTCTATGGATTTGATATACAGATAGTTTCGTATATAAGACTTACTCTATAATTGCTTAAAAAGTATTTTATTTTACACAAAAAGTACAAACAATTTATTTTATAACGCATAAGTTTGACCACAATTGATTAAATGTTTATTTAATCAATTGCAATTCTTAGCTCCGCGAAATAAAAGTATAAAACAAAGAAATTTATCTATATATCTACGAATCTAGCACGTATTGCCAGTCGAGGAATTAAATTAATTTTTAATATTGTCATATTCTCTGCATTTATCGTACAGTTAATACAGTTAAATTTCAAACATCTGATTTATTATGCGACGCATATGCTACCTTCGAGTATCCAGATATAATTTACTTTGTTGTGTTGTTTTATTGCATTGTTTAATATAAGCTTATTAAGCGATTTATCATGTGACGAATATGCTATCTTCGGGTATCTAGATATAATTTTTATTTTGTTATGTTGCTTTATTGCATCGTTTAATATAAGCTTAATTCCGTGAAATTCGGCAAACGTATTGATTGGTGAATTGAATAGTGAATACAAACTTTGTTATTACCAACTTTGTAATTATTATTAATTTTGTCATTGCTAACATTGTGCGTCTTTAGCGGATAATTCTTTGACAGATTGATCACCATCAGCCGACATCGACGTGACAATTGGAGATATTGAGGAAGGATCGAACTGATCGAAGGATTCTTTACATATAGGTATGCGCGTCACATTATGTATTTTAGCATTGTAAAAAAAGTATGTAAAATTACGTAAATGATATGTTACGCAATTTGTAATAAAAATAGTGTACATAAAAAATATATACACTTTTACAAAAATTAATACTTTTTCCTCTAATTGTGTAAAACTGTAAACATATCTTTCTATTAAGTAAACAATTATAATATTAATAGTACAGTATTAATAGTAACATTAATAGTTTATAACTTTTGTATAAATGTACAAATTTTTGCAAAAATGTATGTAATTTGTTCGCAACTCTTTCATTTGCGATAAATTTAAATTTATTCTATTGCTTAGATAATTGAATAGTGTTAATACATATCTAATAGTATTGATGAAAAATTTATCTCATTAAATAAATATTTCTTTAAATTGAACTTTATTTGTAAATTTACTTCTGCAAATTGTTTAACTATTATAAAGAAAAATAATTTACTTTGTAAGTTGTAACTGTACGAACGTATATGTAAATATACCTTTAATAGTGGGTCTCAAAATTACGCACTTATAATTGTTGTAATTTTACATATAATTTTTTTACAATGTGGCACGCTGTTATTTTCTATACAGTTAATAATATCGAAGATACTAGGATCTAAAAGGATCGAAGAACTCGTCAGATATGCGCGTCACATGCTGCATCTCCGTTTCACATTGTGTCTCTGTATCTTCTAGTTTGAGGATAATAAACGGGCCACAATGTAATTGGAGGAGATGTTGTGGGATTATAAGTGGAGTTGGCATATGTGTACGATACTTTAGAAGTGGTGATAATCGGCCGCGCTGGTTCGGGGTACACATACATCACACTGGAAGTCACCGGAGATACTGTAGAACGACGGGCGGATTCGGGGTATACGTATATCACATCGGGAATCTTTGGCATGTCGTTCTTTTCTGTAACAGTTTGATGATTATCGGGCGACGTGGTAATCGGAGATACCGCGAAATTGGACGACGAGTCCCTTTCCTCAGTCATACGCTCGACTTCACCTTGAGTGTCCCTGATGTAATTCCGCTTCCAGTTGCCGCTGTTCGACTCGATATCACGAACCTCGCCGGCGTTTATCTCCTGATCTATATAAGAGATCGAGATTCTTGTGAAATAATATTTTCACTTTGGCGGGATATCGCATCTCTTCACAGCGAAAAATCTGTTACCTTTCGGTCCGCTGTCGTTCTTTGTCGATAGCAATCGGCGTGACCAGAACAACCGTGATATTTGGGAGGAATCCTTAGCGTCTGTCGTAGTTTCCTTGGATTGTTTTCCTTTTTCAGTTTCCTCGGTTTTCTCGCTTTGATTTATACAGAACAGGTATAACATACTCGATTTATCATGCTCCGGTACAATCTCGACGGTCTTATTCTCCTTATCTGCGTAAAAAATCGATAGTCTCGTGAAATAATATTTGTATTTTACAAGCGCAATATCGCACCTCTCTTTATATACAATGAAGAATCTTTGTCTCACCTATCAGCTTGTTGCTCTCATTCGTGGACAGTGGAGACTGCCTTTCCAGTGAATACTTGTAAATATCCTCGCAAATCTTGGTGATGTTTAACGGTGCTGTAGTATTAGTCCATTGATTTACCATCGATTGCCACTGGTGTGACCGTAACTGCGATATTTGGGATTTATAATCCTGAACGTTCGCTGGAATTCCTGACGCGCCTTTAATCTGCGCGTTTTTCTGGACTAATTTTGATACGAGGATCATGGGTTCAATGATGTCATCGTCGTCCTTTGTCTCTTGAACTGTGTAAGAAATCGAAATTATTGTGAAACAATATTTTTATTTCGGCGTGATATCGCGCCTTTCTACAGCGACAAAACCTTTCTCTCACCTCTCGGTTTGTTGTAGCTCTTATTCACCAGCATTAGAGACTGATTTTTCAGTGAAGGCTGAAAGATCTCTCTTTTATTCTTAGCGATGGTATTTCGTGAATATACATTATCGTATCGCCATTTCAGCAACCTTTTCAATTTGCGCATCCGGGAAAAAAATTGCGATATACTTTGACGACCTAAAGGAAAACAACCCGGTTTTTTATTAGTGTTTATCTTCTGATCTGCGTGAGAGATCGAGATACTTGTGAAATAATATTTTCATTTTAGCGCGACAATCGCGTCTCTCTATACGGCAAAAAAAAATCTTCACCTTTTTCCAGTGCGTCCAGTTCATTCTTTAGCACGTTCTCAGCAAGCATGGAATTTGATATATCATTAAGCCATTGACTTATCATCTTTTGCAGCGAGAACTGCATCGATGATAATAGCGATATTTGAATAGAATCCTTAGCGTTCGTCGTAGTTTCCTTGGATAGCTCTGGTTCCGCGTTTGATTGAGTCAAATTAGCCTTATTTCTCAAAAGGTCGATCTCCTGATCTAAAATAATCAAGATCCTTGTGAAATAATATTTTCATTTTGGCGACATCGTGCTTCTATACAACGAAAAGTCTTTCTCTCACCTTTCGATCTATTGTTGCTCTCTTGCACGGATAATGGCAACTGAGAAGACTGACTATTTAGCGAAGACGGCATTTCGTTGAAAGATCTTTCGACGATCTCATAAGATTCATCGAGAAACATCTTTAAGACCCACTTATGTGCAAAATTTACTTGCTCGACTATCGTATCTTTGATCCACCATAACAATTCGCGAGAATCATTATCATTGGCCGTCACAGTTTTCTCGGATATCTCTGAATCTGACTTTAACTTGGTCTGCGTGTAACTATCATTGCGTATGACGTGGCTTGTATCATCGTAGGTTCGTACGACGATACAATATAAGAGCAATAAGTACACGATCTGAGGAAATGATAACCTGGTTTTTATAGCTGTTTCATAAGGCCGCTTTTATTATCGGCTGGATTAATACCACCAGCATTTCATTTTTATGCCGACTTGCGATATTTCCGAGTACGCGTAAAAATAAATTACTTATGATATCAGAACATCAATATATATTTTCTATATGTATAATGTGTATATTTTATATATATAATATAGATGATGAATGTTATCGTATCATATGTTCATATGCGCGCGTGTAAATTCTAAACTCTTTCCGTTCTGTTTTTTAGACACTATACGAAAGCGAAAGCAGGCCGGAACCGACGCACACGTCT